CTGAAAATTGTTCCCGGATTACCCAGAAATGATATTTGCGAATCTTTGGCTTGAGCCTACAATCAAAAAAAGTTAGTCAAACCTCTCAATACATTAACAAAGAATTATCTTGCCAGAAGAACTGGAAGAGAGAGCTTGAAGACGAATTAGTTGAAGAGCCTCGCGGATTAGTTTCAGATTCATTGGTCGAATTAGCTTTAGATTCATTGGATGTAATGGATTCCTCTAAGGATCTAATCCTGCCAACATCATTTTGACAGACTTCTTCGATATCAGATATTTTTAAGTCTAGAAAATATTTTCTGTCATTCTTGGCATAGCCAGTATCACGTGCTTTAAAATATTCGGTGAGTTATTAAGCTCGGTATTAATTTCATTCTTAATTATGTAATTTTGGTGATCTCTGTACAAATAAAAATCATATGACTGAATTTACATCGCTTTTGTTTTTTACAAGTGTAATGTGCATCGAGTAAAAATGTTTATATGCCGGTTTCGTATACATTATAGCATTTACTTTATTATATATATTATACAGACTCCATACAAGAAACTTTTAGAAAAAAAAATTGACAGATATACTAATACACTTGATCATGAACTGTTAATAGAACCTGAACTAACCTTCCCTCTTCCTCGACCTCTTCCCCTTAATCTTATTGTATTCCCTTGTCTATTTGTCTCCTCTTTCGATGCATTAGGTAAGAACTCGGCAAACGTCACAACTCTAGGTCGGTTTGGTGTGAGCCCAGTTACGTACTTAGTTGTGGGCTTGATTATATGTCGTTGTCCCTCTCTCTCAAATTTTTTGAACATTTCAACCTTCTTAACGACATTATATCTCAAGCATAGAAGCGTCCGGATCAATCTAGGTGTATGTTCTAAGTTGTCAAGTGAAGTTGGAATTAGGAGGTTCGGAACCGTGAACGGGGAATATAAATATAGGCCAGGACCGATGTAGACCATTTGGCCAATTTCGAGTTTGTCACCTGTAATAATAATATACTAAAGGTTAAAAATAAACACTTCACATTCAGCTTAGAAATATCCTGAAAATAGCTTACTAAATCCTTGCGCTAGAAAGATTCCCAAATTTTGACATACTTCCCAAGTTGGCAGGTTAGTTCTCATCATGAACTTATTTAAAGCGAAAACACCTTCCTTCATTAATTTTTGTCTATCATTGCTGAATTTATCAAGGTCCGGTTTAGAAGGGTCTCCCGAAACTTCAAGTAAAAATACTGGGATCTGATTGGGCCGTTTTAGAAATTCCGCAACTCCATCTGCCTTATAATCAACAGCTTGCAAATCTAACTTTGTTGAAATAGTTCTTTCACATGAAAAGTATTGTATAGAATCCAGAAAACTAAAGGTAATAAAAAAAAAGTATGCTAGGATATGTGCTGTCCAAGATCGTTCTGTAGTGTTTTCTAAAATTCCTTCTAGCTTTGTGAAGCTATCTATGTGGCTTGAAATACTCTTGATAATGTGTATATCAGGGTATTGAGATTGATTGTAGTGTAGTACTGGAAGGGGAAGGGAATTTGATAGGTATCGAAATTTTGTTGTTATTTCATTCAGACTATGTAGTGTTTTTTCCATTTCAGAAATGACACTGCTCTTAGCATCGTTATCATCCTTTAAATCGATCAAATTATTTACTTCAGTGGTTTTTTCCTCCGAAGGATATTCTATAATTTGATCGAATAATGCTAAATATTCATGTGCCTTTGTACTTATATGATTGTTTTCGTCATCTAAAGTCAGTCTTTTGGATAACATTTTTAATTCATCTTCGCACAAAAGTTCATGTGTTTGCTTTATAATTTCATTATCTCCTAAGTCAATTATGTAATAATCCGCTCCAGAATCACGGGCATGCCATATGGTTTTGAGCTTATTATAATAAGATGTAACTTTTTCAAAGATATTGGAAGTTTCGATTATTGAATTCAGCAAATCTTCTTTAGTAGTGCATTCTTCAGCCGAGTCTTCCTTCTGGATCATACATGGACGTTTTTTTGGTAGTGAATGATCACCTCCCGCACCAGCTAACTGTCTTGTAACATTCTCTCGTATAAGATTTTCTTGATTATCTCGTTGAAGAGTAGAACGCACAGTTGTAGTAGTAAGCTCCTCCTGTAAAAAAAAAAGAGCGGAAAATATGGGCAATGAGTATTTCAATTATATCATATATATACCTTGTTATATTGAAAGCCAAATACATACCACTAAAGCTGAACGTTCAGTCAAAGCCTCGATTTTCCGCTTTTGTGCTAAAATGGCGTTCGTCCAGAAATCAACAATTAATTCTGATTTCTTTTCTTGCTATTAATGATAAAATGAATCAATGATTAGTATTATTCTTTTGATTATTTATTATTTGACGTATTCTGATTCTTCGATATTTTTATTTAATTGCTGATTATATTAAAACTTTCATTTGTTTCAATTCTATTTTTAATATATTCTAGTTGTAAGAACGGAACCACCCGAGACGAGACTCATGCACTCCTGAGCGAGATCAAGAGTGTTGGGTGATTGAACGCAGGACGTGACCCCATCCAAAGAACTATTCTCTTCGGACCCGTTCACTTTCAACTAAGAAAAAGCACTTTTTGGTGAAATGGAACCACCCGAGGCGAGACTCATACGCTCCCGAACGAAATCAAGGGTGTTGGGCAGAACCAAACTAACCATACATGCACTTTGGCAGGACAGAACCACTCGAGACGAGACTCATGCACTCCTGAGCGAGATAAGGAGTGTTGGTGGTTGAACGCAGGACGTGACCCCATCCAAAAACGTTATTATTTTTTGGACCTGTCCACTACCATTATTTTCGAATATACTGTATTCGTCCATTATTAAAACAACAAGAAAGAAAAATATTTAACTTGTACTGCATTAAGTGCCACGCAAGCTAGATCGTATGTAGTCTCAGATAGATCTTCACTTTCAATGATGGCTGAGAGGTTGCGAATATATCGTTTGTGTTCACCACATTTATTAGCTGTAAAATCATCGCATTGTTGTCGGTATAATAAGAAACTTAATAATGACCAGTCGCGGTCAAGGGTGAAGTAGGTAGGATCGTATAGTGGGATTTCTATTGAGAAAGAAAAATTCTATAAACGCTGAGGAAGGCAGAAATCCCAGAGAATATAGAGAATATAAACTTACTCTCCATTATAACAACCGTTTCTTCTGTTACAATAAATTTTTTTCAACTTGCTTCAAAACAGTGAATCTTATATCAAGCGCGCGTATCACGCATAGTCGTCACAGTCGGGTATATTACCAAAATGGATATCGATTCTGGAACGTTCTATGGAAAATCCTTGAGCGATGATTGGCTTATAATTACGCTTTTTGGCTGAGAATTTAATGTTAGTTATTCGAGAATTACATTCACATTGCCTATATTTGCCATCCGCTACCTTTTTGCATGTTTTGCAATATAGATGTGAATGATGATTGCATTCGTCACAGACCTTACACCCGTGCTTCCAGCCTCTAAAGATATGCCACTTTTCAAAGTGATTTTGTCTTTTTTTATTTGTAAGTTTGTTATTTCGATTTTTTATCATTTGTATATATTATACATAAAAAAATAATATACGTGGCTAAATTTTTTTATACAATACAAACCTGTAATATGTGGCAATTACGTCCTCGCCTACATGCAAGAATTATTATTTATAGAAATTTTTTTGTATACCGATACAAACATATAACAAATTTTATTTTTTTTATATAGAACGCTAAAAATTTCAAACCCTTACATGGAATGCATCAAATTTAATACATGGCGCAGTAGTCATGTGAGTGTGACCTTTTGAGGTCACGTCCACGTGACTTATACGAATGATTCTGTTGGGGTTTTATCCGGAATTTGAGATATTACATGATTAATTTGATTTACAGTTAATTTAGAAATCATCAATGCAGAAAAAGAATTCACCCGCACTATTTTATCTATTCCTATCTTACTAAAGAGATGAAAGATTTTTTGGGCTCTTTCTTTTCTTTTCCGGATAGTAGTTTCAGGAGTACCATCG